TTACTAGTTCTAAAAACAACTAAGACACCAGTACTAAAGCATCATGCAACTCTTACCTGCTAATCTGAGCGCGGACATCCTCTGGAATTCTGGCTCCTGCAGCCATTTCCACATCCTTCTGAAAGTTTCCCTCCCCGACTTGAGCTTTGACCAGGGTTTCGGGTTCCTAAGAAGATCACTTAGTGTTCCTTGCGATCGGCAGAGTACCCTCTGGGCAAAAATGGCTTGAGGTATTGAGTATCTTTTTAATTCTCCACTTATTCTTTGGGCTAGTTCTTTTGTGTTGATTTCTTCAGAGTCGTGCTGTTGTTGCTGGTTCTGTGCTTGTTGCTGGGCCTGTTGTTCCTCCCGGGCCATTAACGCCGCATTAAGGTCCAGGCCAGGGCTGGGCAACGGCGGCGTCGGCGACCGCCTCTCGAAGGAGTTAGGCGACACACTCCGCCGACTATACGCGGATTGTGGAGATAAAGGCTCATTGTATCCGGCCGGTGATAATGATGCGTACGACTGCTGCTGTTGTATGACCGTGAACGTTCCTCCGGCATGGTAAGCGAATTTGTCGGATACTGTGCTGATAGGAGGCAGTGGTAGCAGTGGGGTCAAGGTGGCGTAGGAAGCGGGCTCGAGTCCCGGCGGGGTGAGGCGGCCGTTGACGGCGGAGAGCGGGTGGAAGGCCGCATCGGCGTCGGGCAGGAGGTCCGCGGGGGACAGACGGGGCGGGGAGGCGTTGGAGGGCGCGACGATGACGGTGAGCGGCGCACGGTCACGAGCTCGGCCCTCGTCCATGGCACGCGGCCGGCGGCGGCAGCGTCGCGCGGGCGACTGGACCACGCCTGCGCGTCTCCCCCTCTCCCTTCCCCCGCGCCTCATTTCGTACCCCTCACCCTGCGAACACCCCCACATCAAAACCTGGTATTACACGCACACCATATTTGTACCCCAAAAATATATCCATCAACTCTCCTGCGTTTACATAAAGTCACAATTCCCAAATCAACGTTACCAAACACCCCTGTATCAACACCTTACATTCAACTAACACTATCTCCCTATCGCTACAAACCAAACTCAACCTTCCATTTTTTACACAAAGCCGTTTTCCCGACATCAACTTTTGCAACATCCGACATTTCCAGCTACAGTCTACAATGCACCCTTAACCTACTCTACAACGAGAATACACCATACAAAGTCACCTTTCATTAGTTTCATTTACATTACCCCATTTCTACCATCGAATGTATATACTTATACTGAAACTGCAGTGTATAAAAATATTTCAAAATAATTTCAAATGTTTACTTGTCACTGGTAGAGGGGGCTGCCCTCGTTCGCTGTACTTGAATGCCCGCTAGAGTTGTCTCATAGCGGAACTTCCAGAAGGGACATACACAGTTGTGATGATTCATAAATTATGCCTTAGATTAGAACTATTTTGGAAGTTAAAACTAAATTAACGTATTATAAATGTATTTAAAAATAAATGAAGTATTAAATATTTTATATGCAATTATTTTCGCCAAATAAAATCTAAGCAAGCAATTTCAAGTTCTTAGGTTTTCGCGATTGTTACACATAGGAAATGAAACTATTTTTCTGGATTTAAATCGCGTATATTTGTTTTTTCAAACAAACCGCTATAAACCTATAGCTGATGTCAAACACCGTCGCGTAAATAAGTCTGCAGTCTGCGAGCATGTCATGGATAAACCTACACATTCAATGAAGTTTGACAAACAGGTCCTTGCAAAAGAAGTTATCTACCCAGGATGCTGCGAGAGGCCATTGAAATTAAAAAACATCCTAATTTCAACAGGGAAGATGGTTTCTCCGTACCACCAGTTTGGGATCCAGTATTTCCTCTAATGAAAAATCCCAAACAGACATAAGACTGCAGTACTAATTAATATGTTTTAGTTTATTCTAATTTCCATTAATAATTAATAATAAATTTAACTTAATAAAAATTCATTCAATAAAATAATTTGTAAAACTTAATATAGCGTAAATTGGAATGTTTTCTTTGTAAACTTAAAAATAAGGTATTTAATTAATAACTATTGTAACTATAGTGAAAAAATAGGGTGGTTTGCATCAATATTAGACATAACTGGTTGAAGACTGTACCACCTCAGTCAACCGTGACCATGGGACCTGTAAAGGGCCCGAAACGTCGGTTTGTTTGGAAAAACAAATATACGCGATTTAAATCCGGAAAAATAGTTTCATTTCCTAAGCAATTTCAATTTAGTCAAAACTAGATATACTAGTAACACAAGGAATAAAATAGAAATACGGCCCAAGCAACGCCCTAATTTGTAATTTTACAGTAGAACGTTGTTTTGTAAAAGCATATTTCGACCATGGAAAGTTAAAACGTCTAACGTACATTTGGAAAATATTACAAGGAGCGATTTGAAGTTAGCTAGTTAGTGTTTTAAGAAAAATAATCATAACTCTAATTTTATTTGTTATATTAGAAAGTTTTAGCTGTTCCACAAATAAAATTATAATATACTCCCGGACATAAATACATAAATCGAACCACCTTACGTTTTTATTCTTAAAGGGCAGAACACAAAAATATTGTTATCACTGAAGAAAACAGTTTTCCCCGGTTTTATAAATTAAAATTTTCAACAAGGACTGATGGAAATGATATTTAGTATACCAATTTCAAAATAGCTTTATAGTTTTTGATCAATCAAACATTGTTTAAGCTTAGGCTAATTAATACTGAAAATGCAAGGTGGCTCGACTTACGTGTCCGGGAGTGTAACGATAAATGTATTTATTTCTCGCCACAATACAAGACAATAAACGTAATAAAATAAAAGTTATGAACTATTTATTGTGGCTCAAGGCCTGTATTTCAGGATACCAACCCTTGAGGATAACATTTCCAATAATATATATGAAATTACTGGAACTCTCCAATGCGGTAAGAGGGAGTTAACAATTAATCAAATTTAATTAATTGTAACGGAAAAAGGAAAGTGTTAGAATCTAGTGTTAGTAGGGTTAGTTTTTTCTGTTTGCGTGTGATTGTCCGTGTGTGTAAAGGTCTGTGTATGTATGTTTTTTTTCGATTGATTTACCAATTAAATATTTACATGTAACTAAACTAAGCTGGAGCATAGGAAATGAAATTATTTTTCCGGATTGAAAACGCGTATATTTGTTTTTTCAAACAAACCGACGTTTCGGGCTCTTTAGAGGTTCCATGGCCACGGTTGACTAAGATAGTACAGTCATCAACCAGTTATGTCTGATATTAATGCAAACCACCCTATTTTTTCACTATATTTACAAAGTTTTAATAAAATACCTTATTTTTAATTCTAGAAAGAAGCATTCCAATTTACGCTACATTTTAAAGGGCCCGAAACGTTGTCGGTTTGTTTGAAAAAACAAATATATGCGATTTAAATCCGGAAAAATAGTTTCATTTCCTATGCGTAACAATCGCGAAAAAATCTAAGAACTCGATAAGCTGGAGCAATCTGTAACTTTCTGTCTCATCATAACTTTAAATCTGGTAATATTTTCCAAATGCACGTTAGACGTTTTATATTTCCAGGGTCGATTTAATTAATTACCAAATGTTGTAAAAGAAATATTTTGTAAGCAATTAAAAAAGAAATTGCGTAATTTGTTAGTTACCATTGGGTAATACTACTACAGTATTGATGATTTTAATGTTTGTTATATTTTTAACTTTCCATTTTATTTATTAAATTCCTATTGTTATTCACGCTATTGATAAATTGGACTTTAAAACACGCTTCATTAAAAGTAAATTAAGAAGCGTGTAATTCAAGTACCAAGTTTTGGTGAATATACGATCTAATAATAATAAACCTTCATTGTAAAGTACGTTTGTCAGCGAATAAATATCTTTTCGTCGGCTAAAGTGACAGAAACAAAAATTTCAGAAAGGAAGTTAAGTAATAACTGTTTCTTATATTGAACGGCCATATCAGCGTAAGCATTATATTGATAAAAAAAATAACAATGCCATATTTATTTTTAATAATAAATTGTAAAGTAATCGATCGATTAAATCGATTTTTAATCGGTATTCTCGACTGCGTGATAGGGCTCAACTGGTCATTAACACATATTTTTGTCATCCAGCCACGCAGAAGCTGTATAATAATAACCTTTAGTCATTGACTTACAATTATATGGACGTCGGGTCCGCGCTAAAAAGTGTCCGAACTTATAGGGCGTTAAAATGGTATACAGAGCATCATTCACGCTTTAGTCTTCGTTTGTTCGACTGACAGCGAAGCAAGCAAAATTAGACAGTACTGCGATGACATTACAATTTAAATTCAACGTTTTAGCTTTTTCATATTCCTTTACATGTCACTACGTTCAAATAGGTTGACTTGGGACATTTTTTTCGTGGTTTTTGTATTAGACCCGTCGTCTATTTATTTGTAAGTCAATGCCCTTAGTATAAAATTTTTGTTCCCACTACAGTTTTATGACACATGATATGGTGTGTACTAGAAAATCAATCGACCATACATTTCACCTTTGAAGAGACCAGCACCCAACAGTGGGACTTACGCTAAGGGTGCTGATGAAATTACAGACTACTACTGTCGTCTGCTAACCAAAACGCGGTCACGCGACAAAATCATTTTTTGAGATATCACAAAAATACCGTAACCCAGTTTTATAATATTGAAATTGTAAGTTGCAGTAGCGCTCCCTGTGAAAGAGTTCGAAAAGCAAAGTACTGCCACCTTACCTATTTCTACCACTAAGCAGTAATGTCAGCATTAGGTACTGTGTTCCGGTTTCGAAGGGTAAGGGTGCTGGTGGAATCACAGGCACATGACGACTTGTCAAATTATGTCTCAAGGCAACGGGCGCAATGGCAGTACCCCTCGGATCTCAGCGATTTAAAGCTCGGAGTATTGCAACTATTATGATGATGAAGAAATATCAATCATAGAGTCCTGCCTACCTAGGTACTGAATGCACGAACTCATATGACCTAGACCTCTGTCTGGAAAATCGATGAGAAGGGAAAGCTGGAATAGGTTGTGTGATATTGCACATAGTATGGCACAAGTGAAGAAAACTGGGAAACATGTAAGGATACGCAATGTTAAAATTCTTTATTGAAAATTGAACGTTTGCACTTTACTGTTATAATGTTCAAATTTGAAATTAGATCGTTTGCATGTCACAACTTGTGGCTATTTAGTTAGATGTACCTGTCACAACTGCGCGTGGGTCTCTTTTTAACAGACATCAAAAAGAGGAGTGAGAACCTCATTCGACTGCATTTTTTTGCATGTATGTTACGCGATAACTTCGGCATTTGTGAATTCATTTTGATGATTCTTCTCTTGTTGGAAAGAGGGTACCTCAGTTTTGGTCACGTTTAAATTTGAAAAAAATATTCCACCTCTAAGGGTGGCAAAAGTAGGGAATAGTCGCGCACATTCCGGTGACCAATTTCAATGAACTTGGCAAATAGATTCCATTAACTTTTGAGGTCGGTTTTTTTTAAAAAGAGGTATATTATGTTCTATAATATCAGGTAACGGGCCCAATAAATCGTAGACCTGAGGGGCTGATAAGTCCAATATGTCTGTAATTTCATCAGCACCCTTTACCCTTTACCCTACCAGAACGCAGTAGTACTCATTATAGTGGTAGTATTTCACTGGAAGAAATCTTTTGAAATAAGCTCTTTTGCTACTAAAAAGTTTCAAAAGTTTATGACATTAGATTCTACGTTGGAATATGTATGTATATATGTTTCTCTAGGACATATATACATACATATATGTA